CGGGCCCCTGAGTGCAGTGGTCGTGAATCTCCTGCTTGTCACTTATAGATGGCAGCTGAGCCTCTCGCCTGGTGATCTCCTGACCCTGGGTCTTTCCTAAGGGTCCATCCACCGAGGCTCACGTATCCATGTTGGGGCCTGTATGGCCCAAGTGACAAGGGGATCCCTGGTGGCTGGGGCTCTCCCATGCAAGTGTCCCCTCCTGCGCCCTGGCCCCTTCCTGTCCTGTTGTGAGAGGCCATGCAGAGTCTCGAGGCGTGGCTGCTTTCACACCGGGTCGTCAGGGACCTTGCTGAGTTCCCAAGGCTGGTCCCCTGGGGTGGCCGAGAGGAGAGGGGCAGAAGGCGCTCCCTGTCCTTCCTTCCTGTCTGACCCTGCCTGCCCTTGTGGCCTGAGAAGCAGAGAGCCCCTCTGGCCAGGGGAGGCGGGCCGCGTGGAGGCCAGGCAGCAGGGAGAGGCCCCCGTGGCGCTGCAGGCTGCTTTGGGCAGGGCCTACGTGGCAGGGGGACCCTTGGCCCAGACTTCTTGCACAGAACAGGTGGCACCTGAGCATGGAGTCTGAGACCTCTGTGCTCGGGTCTTACGGCCACAAGTAGCGAGTCTCGTCGGAAACTGGCGTCTTTTTTTTTGGTCATCCAAGACCTTGGGGACCAAAGGCCCTTATAGTCGTGCTTTCAGCACTGGGAGAAAGTCCCGGAGCCTCTGGGGAGCCTCTCCCGACGCGACGCAGCACGGGGTCTCCTGGAGCTTGGCTCGTCTCAGGCACAGCCTTACCTGCCCCCCACCCGCCTCCAGCACAGGCCCCTCCCCCCTCAGGCCCTGGCCTGGCTCTGCCCAGGTGACAGGCGAGCTCCTGCCCAGTGCCTCCCTGGGTTGTCCTTGCAGGCACGTGGGTTGCTGAGTCCTTCTGTCTGTCCATGTGGGTCCAGTTTCAGGAGAAGAGTAAAACTAAAGCCCACTGAGGCAGCTGCAGCCAGAGGGGACCCAGAGCCTGGGTGGGGAGTGGCCCTCTGCTGGGAGGGGATCGTGGGGTGCATCCCATCTGGGCATCTGGGGTGGAGGGCCTGGGCCCATGCAGGTGACAGGCAGTGGCCAACATGCCCTGGTGTCCCCATGGGTTCTGGGGGTGGCGCTTGGCGGCCCCCAGCCTGCATCCCACCACTGCGCCACGGCGTCCCGTGCCTTATGTCGCGCCTGGCCAGCTGGTTCTGAATGGCCTGCTCATGAATCCTGTGACTTCATGGTGTCGCTTGAGTGTGAGCCCTGCTGCTGGAGCACAGGCTTGGCCAGCAGACTGAGCAGGTGGGCAGGGCCGGGTGCTGTGGCGCTTTGCTTGCACGGTGGGTCAGACCTGGCCTGGGCCTGTTCCAGGAGAGGCAGGGCGCGAGTCACACAGAGGCTGCTAGTGTGAGTCAGAGGCTCCAGGCACTGGAGGTGGGCTTCTGAGGGACCGGCGTGTCCCCTCGAGAGCTTGTTCCTCCCTGACCCTGCTGCCTGGGGGCTGCACGCTCGGCCCCTCTGCAGAGAGCAGGTGCAGGGAAGGCGTCTCTGCCCCAGGACTGCCCCCTGGCCTCACGCTGGCCATCCTGCACCCTGCCCCTCGCTGGGGCTGCCCGTGGAGGCTGGACTGTGGCTGGGCTTCTTTGGGGCAGGTGGGGGGCTATGGCCTCGCTGGCCCTCCGCCTCCTGGGGTGTCAGGGGCAGGCTGCTGTTCCTCTGCTGTCAGGCTCCCGTGGCCGCGCTCTTCCTCAGCATGTGGCTGCAGGTGGCTCTGGCCAGTGGCGCTGCCGAGGGCTCTGGGAGGCGTGCTTGGCGGGCTGTCAGGCCTTTCTCCATGCCAGGAGCCCTCCGAGAGCCTACTGGGGCAGGGACAAGGGCCTGCAGAGGACAGTGGCCCACACGTGGAGGCAAGGCCAAGGCAGGACCATCTTGGGGACAGAGATCCAGGTCACACATATTGGGCTCCCAGCCCAAGTCTCACTTTGCTGCTTTATTGTCCCCAGTGGGTGCTTTGGTCCTCGTGGGGCCAGCAGTGTCCCATCTACAGCTGTACTAGATGGACAGCTGTCACTACCCGGGGTTGCACTGGGTCACACTGGACTGGCCCAGACTCCACGGCTGTCCCTGGGCGCCGTGGCCACCTGCCGAGGTAGCTGAGTGTCTACTGCACAGGTACAAGCGCAGGGCCCTGGGTGCGCAGGCCTGCAGGGGGCCGCAGACTGCCCAGCCCCATCTGGGACCGATTTCTCCACCGGAAGCCAATGCCGCGGCCACACTCCCCAAGAGTGACTCCACTGCCGTCCCACACGCTGGTGGGGACTGCACAGGACTGTTGGCCTCAGTGACTGCAGCAGGTCCCGATGAGCACACGCGTCCCAGAGGGTCGGCAGCCTGACGGGGCTTGGGGGGTCCTGGATGAAAACAGTGTGACGGCCCATGGGCTTGTCTCACCGGGCACCTGCCGAGGCCGCCCTGAGGATTCAGGCTGAGGCCCCTGAAGGCCACCCCTGCTGCTCCTGAAGGCTTGGCCCTCGCCTGGGCTCTCTGCGCCCCCAGGCCAGCCTGGAGGTGGTGCGCAGCCGTCAGCAGGCTCTGCGTGTGGCCGCGCTGCCTCCTGAGGAGGGCGCCATCTTTGTGCTTGCCGAAGGGCCTTGCTTTCTAGAACCTTCAGACCAAAGCCAGGCCACAGGTCTGTGGCCCTCACCCTGTTGCTCAGCTTCTTGGCACTGGACAGTGAATGCCACATGCCTGCACCCACAGGCTGTACCCCTCCCTGGGGCCAGCAGGCCCTGCCTCCTCCCGCTGTTTCCTTCCCGGGTACCCAGGTCCCCACTCTACAGAACCCACGGGGACACGTTTGTGTGGGAGCTCCCGGCGGCCACCACCCTGTAAGGCAGCTCCCAGGACTGCTGCAGAGAGGCTCGCACCAGCAGCTCCTCCAGGGGGCGCAGCCGTGGGCAGAGGGCGAGCCAGAAACTGGGCCAGCCTTGGCCGGTGAGGGGCTGGCCGCTGCAGGCCGGGATGCACTGGCGGAGCGTGCCGGCGCACACTCGGGTGCACAGGTGCTTTTTCTAATTACTAAAGGAAAAGCAATTGCAGAGCTGCTCCGTACAAATCCCTTAAGCCGCTGCTGATGGTGGCGCCGGCAAGGCCGCGGTCCAGCCAGGAATCCGAAACCCAGGCGCCATCTGCGCTCCCGCCACTGCAGCCAAGTCGCAGCCAGCTCTCCGCGGGCTTCATGAAATGAATTGAGTTTTCTGGGAATCACTTGGCCGTAAATACTCCCTCCTGTCGGCATGGTTGGGTCCCTTTCTGTTCCCAAAGCCCTGTGCCAGGTCCAGCCTGAGGCACTGTGGCTGCCCCTGGGGGGTGGGCAGAGCTGTGGGGGTTCCAGGCGGCGGTACCCCCAGAAGCATCCCATCTGGAGCCATGGACCCCGTCTGTGGGGAAAGCAGGGGGTCTGGGAGGCTCCTTGGAGGGGCACGGCTGCTCCTGCTCGGTTCCACCCTCCCTCTCTGTGCCTGTCCCTCCACTGCGTACGGTGTAGTGACAGCCAGGGGTCTGGAAAGCAGGAGAGCGCTGAGGCTGCCCCTGGGAACCTGGCCTGTTGTCTGACCGGGAGGCTGCAGGTTCCATGTGGGCTTTCAGGGAGGGGCCAGAGGCCATTGGGCTGCTTGTACCCACATCCCTGGGCATCTGCCTCCCCAGAGCTGGGGGAGCCTGGCAGTAGCACCCCTTCCCCAGCCCTGAGCACCTACACAGCCCTCAGCCTCAGGGGAGACATCCAGGGCTGCTCTAGCCGCCTGCGCTGGACCAGGAGTCAGCAGGTCACTGCCGTACCCTGCGGCCCACTGCCTGGTCTTTGTAAATAAAGTTTTATTAGCACACAGCCTTGCCGAGTCTTTTGCCTGTGCACATTGTCCTGATGCTTTTGAACTCCAGTGGCAGACAGAGGTCAAGAGCTGAAGGTCAAGGCCAGCAGTGTCCCACCTGCAACTTGCCCTCATGGACACAACTTGCCAGTCCTTGCCCTAGAGCGTGGTCACCTCCCTCCGCCTCCCTCCCTCTCACAGTTGCCCCCCCCCTCCACCGTCTCCAGGTCAGTAACTGGGAGACCAGGGCCCTGGCTGCCTTCCCTGTTCTGGTGCTCGTGGTCCTGGGCAGGACTTTGCAGAGAGCCAGGAAGCAGCTGCAGTAGCCTCCTCGGTCACTCGGGCCTGGCTTCTCTGGCCCCAAGTGCCCCGAGGCTGAGTGTTGCCTGATCAGTGCTGCTGTGGAGGCCACGGCCTGAGGACAGTGGGTGGGAGGCGCAGCTCTCCATGGTGCAGGGATTGCTGGCAGCACCGAAGCGCGGCCTCCTCTGGTCTGCAGCTTGCCAGGGCCCACCCTGTCCTGGGCGGAGTTTGCCGGTGTCCAGCAGGCAGCCCGCCGTGCCTGCCCTGTGTGTGGCAGGGCATGGCCGACCTTAGTGGGGCCCCGCGCCCCAGCTCCCTCTCTGGCAGCCCCTCCCTCAAGCCCCATGAGCAGCGGCTCCCCGGTGAGGGTGACCCTTGGTGAGGCCCAGGGGAGGTGGCCGCCCCTGGGAACGTACCCTGGGCTTGGCCCTCACCACTCCTGTTCGTTGGGGCTGCCGACTCCCACCCTCTCCCTCCGGCTTGGAGAATGCTCCCTGGTCTCGGTCTGCCTGGGGCGCAGATGAAGGAGGGAGATTTCTGTTTGGACCCGAGAGGCAGAGCTGGCCTCAGCTGGTCGCCTCGGGCTCCTCCGCTGCCTGGGGTGCCCAGCTCTGACGCCCTCCGCCAGCCTGGGCCTGCGCTCAGCCCCTCGGACGGTTGCCGACAGCCGCGGTTCGTGCAGCCTGAGGAGGGGCGGGTCACGCTTCTCCCTGGGACAGAGGCTGCCACCTTCCACTGACAGGGCCGGGTGGAGGACGGCCCTGGGCCTCTGCCAGGCGGGCGAGGCCTGTGCTGCCCGTGCCTCAGGCGTCTGTCTCCCCACAGTGCACCTGCCGCAAGGACATGGTGAAGATCTCCATGGACGTGTTCGTGCGCATCCTGCAGCCCGAGCGCTACGAGCTCTGGAAGCAGGGCAAGGACCTGCCGGTGCTGGACCACACGCGGCCCACGGCCCTGAGCAGCCCCGAGCTCAGCTCCTGGAGCGCCTCCCGCGCCTCGCTCAAGGCCAAGCTCCTCCGCAGGTGGGTCCAGGAGCTGCCCGTCACCCATCACTGGTGGGGTCAGGGAGTGCTCCCGACCACTTCCCACCGGCTGCGGCTCGGTCCGTCCTTCCTTCTCCTGCCTCGGAGTGGAGCAGGTTCCGCCACCTGCCCGGCTCCTGGGTGGGCGCTGCTCGGCCACTCGTCTCCCCTGGAGCGCCCACGCTGTGTCCCCCGCTCTTCCTGCCTTAGCCTGTGGTGTGGGGGCACTTAGGACCCTGGCTGGGTCGAGAGTTGGCAGGTCCCGGGCAGCATTCCCAGTGCCCAGGGGTCAGAGTCCCACCCCTCTGTCTCTGAGACCGCGCGCTGTGGGTGAAGGTGCCTCTCCCCGTGAGGTCCTGGAGGTGACTGCTGAGGCGCAGTCCATGGGGATGGCCGTGGGGACTCCAGCTCCATCTCTCAGCAACCCTGGGGTCCCCACTCCCCTCAACAGCATGGTCCCGCCCAGCGTGGTGGGCCCCGCACCTCTCCTGGCCAGGGCTAGGTGTGGATCCGAGCTGTCCAGGCAGCATCCAGGCCTCCAGGGCTCTGAGCTGCTTACAGACACGTCCGTCCCCAGTGTCCCTTCATCTTGGGCCCCCAGGAAGAGTCAGCAGCCACCAAGTGAGAGCTGGAGCCTGGGGACAGCATAGGGCCCAGGCCAGGCGTTCAGGACCTGGCCCCCGGCCGTCTCTGGCCCATCTCCTCGCTCCCCAAGTGGCCCAGAGCCTGCTTGGATGGCAGACCTTCAGTGAAGGCACGCAAATGGCTTGTCCTGCGCCTGTGCCCACGCTCGCTGTGGCTGGCCCGCGCCATCCTCGCTTGCCGTGGGACATGGTGGATTTCTTTTTCTTGAACCACTTATAACCATAAGCCTGTCTTGAGGGTGGCCGCTCCCAAGCGGGCAGTGCTCTGGCCTCTGGACCTGGCTTGGAGGCCACCTCCCTGCCCATGGGTCACTGGCTGCTCCATCAGCAGCTGCTGGTCACTTGTGGCTTGACCCAGCTGGGGCCCAGCCACCGAGCAGGGTGGGGCCCCTCGGCCTCCCCGCCGTGGAGCCAGCCTCAGAAGCGGCATCTGGAATTAGTGGTGCGGGCCAGAGCGCCCCCCGCTGGCCACCCTCGTTCTCAGCACATCCCGTCTGTGTCTGTCCACCTGAGTCTGCAGTTTCGGCCTCTGGTGGCGAGTGTTGAGTCTGTTCTGGAATGTTCTCCGGCTCCTCCTAACAGCCTCCTGGCCTGCAGGTGGGCCATCCTTTCTGGGTTCCTTTGGTGTCTGTCCTTTTGATTTCCTGACCTCAGCCTTCTCCAGAAAAAGCCACTTGGTACTGAGGCTGCCAGGTTCTGTCGGCTCCCACCCGGCGGGCAGCGGGCAGCAGCTCTCGCCCTGGACGGGCTATTTGCATAATGGTTAATTGATTGTGGCTCAGGCTAATTGGTCAACAGAGCGGATTGCCAATACACAGGCGCCGCATTCCAGGAGCAGGATGGGATTAGAGGCTGTCCAAGAGCCTGCCCAGAGGAGGCCAGGCCCACTCCAACCCGCCACAGAGGAAGCGCCAGGCGCAACGGCACCCGCGCCCTTCTGCCTGCCGCGGCCCCTTCCTGGAGCAGCCTTCCTGGGCCTTCCTCCCCTCCTCCCTCGTCCCAGCACCCGGGAGAGCTGTAAGGAGAGGACGGGCTGGTGACAAGTCATGTCCCCGGGTGTGACTCCTCTGCGCCTTCAGTCTGCAACAGGCCGGTTCCTCCTCCGCTTCGGAAGCCAGGGCTTTTGCGGGAGGCTGATTGGCGAGTCCAGTTTGAGAGCCCAGGCGCGACCCACCTGCCCTCAGCCTTGGGACCCTCCCTGTGACCGTCCTCTGCCCCCGTGCCTCGTGTCCTGGCGGCCCCTGAGCTTCTGCAGGTGTATTTGGGCTGGCAGCCCAGCAGCCGTCCTCAGCTGACGTCACCGTGGACTGACGGGTCCCTCAGGCGGGGCCTGAGCGCACTGGGCCGGTGGGGGGGGTTCTCAGTGGCCTCCCGGCCTCCGCCTCGCCCTCCCTGTGGGCACCAGCAGGGTCCCCGGCTGGAGCCGCTGTGTGGGCGCCCCCCCACGAGAGGCCTCCCCTGGCCGCAGCCAGCCGGTCTGTGCTGGGAAGGCCAGTGGCCCCTGCCCGGTCGCCTGCCACAGGTTTGTCTTCCACAAGAGATCTTGTCAGCTGAGTTGACCCCCGTCAGGGCCACTTGTGTATTTTTCTGTGACAAATAGGACACATGGAACTGCACAGGCAGCTTCCTGTGGCCAGGCTCGCGCTCTGGTGCTGCTCCAAGCTCCTCCTGAGCTGCCCGCCTGCCTTCGGCTCCAGCAGACCCCTGGGTGAGCCACCAGGCAGGAAGGTGGGGACCATGTGTCCCCACCCAGAGCCCAGATGGAGCAGTCTCCATCACCAGCCAAGTGTGGCCCTGATGTCCCCGCCCCTGGCTCCTACCCCGCCATGCCTGGACACCTCCAGACGCCCTCAGTCTGGAAGGTGAAGAGCCACTGTGAGCCCGGGGGTGGCCACCTGCTGCCTGGCTTGTCCTCATCCCCAAACCACTGGGGACACCACCACACCGTCAGACCCCTGCCAAGCCCGTTCCCACAGACGACACACCCCTGCCAGTCTCGAGAGGACCCATAGCCCCCTGATGCCGTCCCACGGGCGTCCACTTCCTCCTGCCAGCTGAGGTCCAAGGGGTGCGCCTCCGTCTTGCAGTGTCGGGACCACAGTTGGACTGAGCCCAGGGCTCAGTTAGGGCAGCCAGCTGGGCCTGGGAGGCCATGCCCGCCAGGCAGTGGGAGCAGGGACGAGAGCTGCTGCGGGGTCCGACTTCAAGGACAGAGGGTGGCGGCAGTGCCAGGAGAGGCGGGCGGCCTGCCATGGGCGGGCAGGAGGGGCTGGCCAGTGTGGGGGCTATGGGACCGCCCCCTCGGCCCCTGCAGCCCATGGCTCCCATGTCTGCGTCACCTGGTCCCCGTGGAGGACGGGCAGCTCTGGACAGGAGGGAGGAGGCCAGGAGGCGAGGGTCCCGTGGAGGGCAGGGCGCTGCCCTCCCGCCATCCGGCAGTCTTCAGAACGCGCTCAGCCCCGAGCGCGGTGCAGGCCCTGGCTCAGGAGGGCCACCAGCCGCCTCTAGCCTGCCTGGGGAAGCCTGGGCCCGCGAGGGTCGGGACAGGGACGCGGGGGACATGGGCGCAGCAAGACGCAAAGCCCTCCTCCACCCGGAGCAGGACGGGGAGCTGGAGGCAGGCCCGCCTGGGCGCCGCCCTGCTGGGGGTTCAGGAAGGGCAAGAAGGGCCCAGCCCCACTTCACATCGCTGCCTCGGGGGCTGCTGGCAGGGGCAAGGGGGTGACGCTGCGCAGTCCTGGAGCAGCCCACAAAGACAGGGCCTCCACACCAGAGGAGGACCCCCTCCCAGAGAGCCACCGGCCGTGCCTCGCCTCAGGGGGCTCTGTGGGGTCAGTGGACCCACGCACCTGGGCCACTCAGAGAAGGGGTCCCCAGCCCCTGGAGCAGCGTGGTAGGGTCTGAGGAGGCCCACGGGGCCTCAGGTCTCGCCCTGTCCAGGAAGGTGAGGGGCCCTGAGGGGGAACGGCCACCGGAGGAGAGGCGGGACAGGCCGCCTGTGGCTCGAGGGCCTACGGGGCCCTGGGTCCTCCAGGGTGGGGACGGGGACTGCCCTGGAGGCCGGGGCAAGGAGCCCAGGGCGGGTGAGGAGGGAGGAGGCCGCCTGTGAGTCTGCCTGGGTCGCAGGGGACCGCACTTGAAGCCCAGCCCTGCAGCTGGACACAGTCAGACCCAGGACAAGCCCCAGACTGCATCCCTGAGCTGCGTCCCCAGCCCCAGGCTGCCTGGAGGTGGTGCTGCCCTGCTGGAGAGGCCTGTCCTCACTCCTCCCTGTCGGTGTCCCTGCTTCCCCCCACCTGCCTGTGCTCCCTGTGGCACCCGTGTGCCCCACGTGTGTGACACCCCCCTGTGACGCTTCTCCCTGTGTCCCATCTGGAATGCTCCACCTGCTTCTGCTGCTGGTCATCTCGTGGGGTTCATGCTGCGAACATCGGGTGGCCTCTCTGGGCTCAGGGACAAGCAAGAACAGGCCTGGGGCTGGCAGGGGGCAGTGGTTCTGATTAGGAAGAGGAGGGTCAGCAGGGCTCAGTGACCTACGGATGGGGACTGCTGGCAAGGGGGCCAGCTGTCTTAGGACCCTAGGATGGCCGTGGCCCTGTCCAGATGCAAGTGGGGTTTCAGCCAGTGACTCTCAACCGTGGGGAGGGGCAGGCAGGAAGTCCAGTGGGGCCCAGGGAAGCCACATGGCCACGTACGGAGCCCTGGGGGACAGGGCCGCAGGTGTCTCCACCTGCTAGAGAGCACTAGTGACCTCCCCCAGGCCTTGGCTTCTGCCCCAGCTCCTGGTGAGGGGACAGTTTGGGAAGCCACGCCCCTCATCAGTCTAAGGCAGCTCTGTCCCCAGCCTGGAAAGGCCTCAGCCTCTAACAGGCGGCCTCCTCCCCTGCCACTGCGCCTGTCCTCCTGTTGACCCCGCTCCCCCGGGACAGCCTGCTGGCCTTAGCTTGAGCTCCTCGCCAGGGACATCCCCATGCGCCCCAGGTCCTTGGCGTGTCCCTTTTCCAGGGCTGGGCATGGGGCTGGGAAGGAGCCTTGCATGGGCGAGCTGGGAGACCCTGTGTGTCCGTGGGACTGTAGAGAGGGGACCTGGAGAGTGGGGGCATGCTCAAGGTGAGGCCCCCGGCAGAGCATCCTGGGGAGCCCCGCAGAAGCACTAGAGAAAAACGCCCTGAAATTTACCTTCTAGACAAATTAGTGTGAAGGAAAACAGACCCTGGAGAAAGACTGAGGAGGAGAGGAGGCCGAGTCTAGAGAGGAGGAAAGAGCAGACCAGGAAGCCGGGGCCGGCGTAAGTGCACCCCTGTCCCCGGCCGTCCAGCGTCTCACGCGGCCGCTGTCTCCATGAGTCTGCACCCTGTGTCTCCCGCCCCACGCGCTCGCTCCGCCCATTCCATCGTCCCTCTGGGTGCTGGGCAGCATCCCACCTCCAGCCGCCAGCCGCCCTCCCTCCTCAGCCCAGCAGGCCAGGTGGGTGGGCGGCCTTCTGCCTGTGTCCGCCCCTCCTGCCTGACGCGCCTCCTTCTCCAGGTCGCACCGGAAGCGGACTCAGCCCAAGAAGCCCAAGGCTGAAGACCCCAAATCTCCAGAGGAGGGAGCTGCGGCAGCCCTTCTGGAGGAGGCTGGAGGCTGCGTGAAGGAGGAGGCCACACAGGAGGCTGACCCGGAGGAGGAGGAAGAAGAGCTGCAGCCGCCCCAGGGCCTTCTGCAGGATGCCGAGGGCACCGAAGGTTAGTGTAGCCGTCACCCTGGCATTGGGGCAGGCCACCCCGCCCCGCTCCCTGTGTCCTGGAAGGAGCTGGCACTCCCTCTACCAGGCACCTGGTCCCAGGGGCCGGCCCACAGCATCTTACTGGGCACATTTTATGAAAATGCCCTTCCCCCCAGGGGACACGTGGGCTGTGGAATCTCCATCCACGAGCATTTTAAAGGCCCCTTCTAATGTGCGGCTCGCCCTCCCGCCCCGTCGCTGGGTTCCTGCTCCCAGCTCACGCCTGTGTTGGCGCCTGTGCACGTGGCGCTTGCCCCTGGGAAGGAAGGGGAGGGCAGCCCTCCCTCCTTGACCTTCCCTGTGCACAGGTCCCGGCGGGGCTGCTTGTCAGCGGGTCCCAGGGCAGAGGGTGGCATGGGCAGAGTGGTCCTGGCATTGCTTCCTGGGGCAGCGGGACAGGAGGGTCAGCCGCCCGAGACAAGACCAGCAAGGGAAAGGACAAGTGTGCAGCAGCAGAGGGTCCCGGGGGGCGTCCACCTGAGCAAGGAAGCCATGGAACTACAGACTCGCCAGGCAGCGACCCCAGTCCAGCAGAAGCTGCTGGCCAGCCCGGCAGCCCGGGGGCGAGTCTCGGCCCTGAGCCATGCAGAGGGCACGTGGCTTAGAGAGAGGCCACTTGTAACATCCGAAAGCAGCGGCCAGGAGTACTCCACCAGTCGAGAAGGTGACGTGGAGAAGGCGACTGGGAGAGTGGAGTGCTGGACAGTCAGGCAGAGTGGCTGCCCACGAGGACGCCTGATGTGCCAGCTGCTCCCCAGGCAGCTGGGCCTCTGTGGCCCCAGCCAGGCCCTCCAGGCCTGCAGCGGCCACTTCCTGCCTACAGCGGCCACGTCCTGCCTGTGGGCCTGTGGTGTAGACACCGGTGGGTGAGGCCAAGAGCAGAGCTGCAGAGGCCGCAGCCCTCCAGACACGGGGACTGGCCGTCGGCTGGCCTCACAGGACCTGAGAAGGGCGCACAAATTGAGGGTCCAGGAGTGGGGTCCCTGGAGCAGGGGCTCCTGGAAGGTGAGCAGGAGGCTCGTCCCTCCCACTGCCCATCCTGTGGCCAGGTCAAGCTCCCTGTGGCCACTGTGCCCAACGATCGCAAGCCTGGGGCCTAAAACCACGCTTGTTGACCCTCTCACAGTCCCAGGTCCCAGTCTGACACGGACCTCCATGGGCGAGACCCAGGTGCAGCAGCTGGCCCTCCTGAGGCCCCAGGGACAGTCTGCGTCCCCCTCCTCCGCTCCAGAGCCCTCAGCGCAGCGTCTTCCAGGTCCTCTGACGCTGGCCCTCCTGCTTCCTCCCATGAGGACTCTTGGTGACCCTGGGTGACCCCAGTTCAGCCCCCTTCACTGATCCTGTCTGAGGGCCCGTTCAACCACGTGAAGTCCTGTCAGGCCAGGTCAGGCTGTGGCCTCATGAAGGGCCATCGTCTGCCACTGGCTCAGCCTTGTGTTGGGAAGACGGACCAGAGGTGGAAGATGAATCTTCGGGATTTTAGGCTAATTTTTTGTTACAAAGCACAAACCAGCAAGATCACGATCCACTGCACGGGGGCTGGGCTGGCGGCAGAGCTCCCTCGCCCTCCGAGCCCGGGCTCCGTCCTCAGCACCACGTCTAAGCAGATGGACAGTCAGCCGTCAGCGGAACAAAGATCCACAGCGTCAAACACTCCACGAGCAAGACCTGAAGCTGAGAGAGGAGTCCCGAGGAGGCCTGTGACAAGGACCAGGCCAGGAAGGGAGGCCGAGGCGGACAGGCCTGCACACCCACGGCCCAGAGGGGAGAAGCCGGCAGCTTGCTTTGGTGGAGACGCAGGGCCTGCGGCCACCACTGCCAACCAGGGAGCAGCCACCACCTGGGAGCGCTGAGGACCGTCACAGCTGGAGGGCCCTGGGTGCAGCAGCAGAGGAGGCCCCTGGCCGGGAAGGGACAAGGCTGAGAAAGGAGGGACAGTTTTCCATGCCCTGCGGTGACCCTCGTGTATGGCGACTCACGTGGCCTGGGGGACCTGGAGTCTGGGTCCACTGGTCTCCAGTTTGGAAGGTGCCACCACCGCACCCGGGTGACCTGAGTCTTCCTGCAGCAGACCGCGCCGTGCCCAAGTGTGCCGGCTGGGGCGAAGGAGGTCGCGGGTCTGCAGGCTACATGTCCAGCTTCCGGCGTGGGCAGAGGCTTCCTTGCCCAGCTCTGCCCACACCGCGTCCTCCTGGGCGCCCTCCCTGGCCCCGCGAGGTTGCCCTTTGCCAAGGCTCTGCCGTGCGGAACCGCCCAGGGCCCACCCTGGCCTCTGCAGCGGCCCCAGCTCACGCTCTCAGCCCAAGGTTGGGCCGGACGGAGGCTTCCCCGTGGGGAAGGGGGGCCCGGCCGTTCCCCGAGGACCCCTGGGCCCTGCGCGACGCACACTCCATTGGGTCAGGGGCCCTCGTGAGCTGTCGGGGTGGGCTCCGCAGGGCCCTTCTCACCTCGGCTCAACTGCTTCCCACAGGCAGCCCCACGGGGTGAGCGTGAGGCTGAGCGGGGACTTGGGGCTCTGGCAAGGGACAGGGAGAGATGGCTGCAGCGGGCATGTGCTGCTCCCTGCGTGGCTGGCCCGGGGCTGCAGGCCCTGCTGGGCGTGGGCCAGCTTGTGGAGCCCCTTATGAGCGGCGCCTGGCCTCAAGCGAGGGGTCCGCTGAGGGAAGGACAGTCAGTGGAGGAGAGCAGGGGTCAGGCCCAGGCCCACCCGCCCCGTCCCCCCATCTGGGAGGACGTTCCAGCCTGTGGGGACCCAGTGGGTGTGGGGTGTGGGGTGGGATGGCCCCGTGGGGTGACGTGAAGTGCTGGCAGCTGGAGGGAGGGCACTCGGGAGTCGGGAAGGCGCGGGTCCACCCCTCTCCACAGACTGGGGCCTGGCTGGACGAGGGCTGGACGAGGGCCTTTGCTGGCCGGTGTACCTCGGTGCCCCCTGCTGTCACCAGGGGAACGCGTCCCTTCACAAGTAGAGCCCAGCTGTTCAGGCCACGTTGCCGCAGCCCTTGCCCAGAGACACCCTGGCCTCCTCGCCAGTGTCCCCACTCCAAGCACGCGGCTGTCCGGATGGCAGGGAGCCCCTGGCTGGGGTGGACGCGCATTGCAGTCCAGCTGCGTGGCCAGACCTGGGGGCACCCGGCCTGGCTGCTCTGCCCCTGTCGGGGACCGTGGGACTTGAGGCCTGAGGGCTCCGTGAGGTGGTGGCAGTGCTGTGGCTGCGGGGGCTACTGAGAGGAGTGAGCTTGGGATGGGCAGGGCCGGTGAGCGTGGGGCAGGGCTGTTGGCACTCAGGCCAGGAGCTGCACCAACTCCCTGCCCAGGGCTGGCGCCCGCCTGGTCCTCAGCCCTGAGCCCCCAGAGCCCCCTTCCTGAGGGGAGGCTTGGGGAGGTGGGGGCTCCCACAGGACGCGGCCCTCCTGCAGGCAGCACCACGTGCCGTGGGGGGAGCGCAAGGTCCTGTGGAGCACCCCCAGCCCCACTGCTCAGGATCCCCTCGGGGTGTTTGCTCTGGGCCCCGGTTTGGGGCCCAGACGCGAGGATGTCGGAGCCTGTCGCTCCTGAGGTGGGCAGGGGCAGCGCCTGCAGGCACAGGCCCTCGGCTGGCTGCCTGTGTCCCTGCCCACTCCCACTGCCCTAGGTCCTGGAAGAGCAGCTGCCTGCAGGGACCGCTGGAGGCCGGGGGAGGCCTGTGCCAGGGCCCTGCCTTGCTGGACAGCAGCCACTCGGCTACAGCTGCTCGGCCCTCTGGCTGCCCCGGCTGTGCACCCCAGGTGACCTCACCTCTGGCCGGCAGAGCGAGGCTGCCAAGGAGACCCCGGCCACACCCTGCCTCCCCACTGTGGAGCGTGTTTGAGGGTGGCCCCACGCTGGGGATGGCCAGGCCAGACTGGCCACTGCGCAGGGTGGGCGAGGCGGCCGCCGGGAGGGCCTGCGCAGGTCTGCCGGCCTCGGGCGCGCCCGCTGGCTGCCTCGGGGCAGGCACAGAGCTCATTTCCTGGGAAAGGCCGTGGCTTCTGCCCTCTGCAGCACTGCCTTGGGCCTGCCTGGGCCTGGGACCCTGGGCCTAGCCCTGGACGCTGTTGGAAGCCCAAACCCAAAAGGCTGAGACCCATGGAGGGGCCTCCTGGCCATGTCCTTCCTCCTCCCAGAAAGGTCGACGGGGCCTCTGCCCGTCCACCCTCAGAGGCCTCTCTGTCCTGGGGAGGGGCTCTCTGGATCCTTCAGCCCCTTGGGCAGCTGTGGTGCTGGCCAGGGTCCCGTGTGTCCTTGCTGCCTGGTCCCTCCTGGAGGCCAGAGGCACTAAGCCAGAGCCCCGCTGCGGTGTGCGGTGGCTGGGAGGGGCTCGGCTCCTTCCCCCACTTCCTCCTTTGGGTGCTGAGACCTGAGGGCCAGGTGCTCGGGCCACATTCTGGACCCCCCTGTGTCCTAAGGCCATGCCCTGCCCTGGAAACCCTCAGGCCAAGTCCTGTGCTGCCCCAGAGGCCGGAGAAGTAGGATGGCCAGCGGGGCTTCAGGGCTGCGCCTGTGCCCTGCCGCGGAGGCTGCTGTGGGGGCAGTGGGACTTGTGTCCCCATTCTCACGTGGGGCCGGCGAGCCCCGGGCGGCAGCATGGAGGGTTGTAGGCTGGTCTCCTGGAGGGCAGGGTCTGGGCTGCCCACTCCACACCCTAAGCCAGAGCCCGGGCGGCACCTGCGAGAGCACCCTGTGGTCGCAGTGGTGAATGTCCAGCACAGGGGCCCAGAGCAGTGCAAATATGGCATCTCTCAGTTTGGGAGGTCAGGGCAGACCCAGGGCCGCAGGCTGGCCTCTGGGGGCCCCGGGAAGAGTCCACAGCCTCCTCCTCCAGCTCCTGAGACCCCAGGGAGTATCCTTGTCCCCCTCCTTCAGCTCCAGGGCCAACAGCGCTGTGTGCTCAGGCCCTCTGACTCTGGCCCTGCTGCCTCCTCTCAGGGGGACCCTGTGTGACCTTAGCTCAGGGCCCTTCACTTCGTGCCATATACAGAGTCCCTTTTGTCACAGTTCTGAGGATCAGGGTGTGGCCATCTTTGAGGGCCTCAACTCTGCTACCCACACCCCCGTCTCACTGCCTGCTTGTTCTGGCACCAGATAAAATGCCACTAAAGACCACCTCCCCTGACCCCTCCCACCCCCTGCAGCAGGCTCCCCCCGTGCTGGGGGCTTCAGGCAGGGCCGTCCCAGACCCCTGGCCACCTGTCGCTCTGCCCTGCTCCAGCATTACTTAGTCCCCAGGCAGCAGCCCAGGCCACAGGGGTGCGTCTTGCCCCCCACCCCGACCCGTGCTGGGCCCTCATCCAGAAGCACTTGAAGGTCGCCAGCCTGGTCCTCCAGGACTTCAGGGTCGGAGCTGCTTTGAGGCCAGTTTTCCAATCCCAGCAGTGACCCCTGCTGACTTGGCGCTGCCCACTGGGCCAGAGGGGACCTTGCACCCCAGCAGCCCCTGCTTGGCCAGGGTGTTCCTGGAGAGCCCCAGGCAGAGCAGGCGGGGCCCTGGGCCTGGTGGCCCCGGCCGGGTGCAAGCGCTCTCCTCTCCCCACAGAGGACGGGCGGGGCAAGCTGCGGCCAGGCAAGGCCAAGAGCGACCGCAAGAAGAAGAGCCACGGCCCCCTCTCGCCCCAGCTGCCGCCACCCCCCGCAGCCCCACTCCCCGCCGAGGACGCCCTGCGGCTGCCGCCCGCGCTGGAGCCCCCGGTGCTGCTCCCAGGCTCTGCGGCCTCGGAGGAGAGCCCGCCGCCCGCACCCCTCAACGTGGTGCTCCCCGAGGCGCCCGGCGAGGAGCACGAGGCCCGGCCGCGGCCCATCATCCCCATGCTCTACGTGGTGCCCCGGGCCAGCACGGCCGGGCCTGACAAGGACCTGGCGCCCGGCCCGCAGGCCGCCCCCATGGAGCTGACGGGCCCCGAGGAGGACACCAGGGGCCACGCCGGGGCGGTGCAGGTAGGTGTCGGACGGGGTCCTCGGCGCCTGAGGCTCTTCCACGGCACGTGGCAGGTGGCAGGCGGGGATCTGGAAGAGAGTCACGCCCATCGTCCCTTGCTGGCGCCCAGCTGCAGCCTGCTCCGGGGCCAGGGAGCCATGCCTCATGGGGACGGTGTGTTCTGCTTCAGGTACCAGCGTCCTTTCCCAAATTAAAGATGGAGATCAAGAAGAGCCGGCGCCACCCCCTGGGCAGACCACCCACCCGGTCCCCGCTGTCTGTGGTCAAGCAGGAGGCCTCAAGTGACGAGGGTGAGCCGGGGCCCCTCCCGGGTGGCCCTTGCCCTGGGCTGGAGCCCCCAGTGCAGCCAGGGCCCCGGGCCATCTGCCCCCTGGAGCTGCACTCCTCCCTGGTCCCCCTCACTGGCAGGTCACCTGGGAAGCAGCGCCCCTACCTGGCCTTCTCTGCCCACACCATCACCCGCTGTGCCAGGCTGTCTGGCGCCTGGCCTCCCTGGCACACTGCCACCCGCGGGCCCCAGGGGAGCCCACAGCCCCAGTGCTCCACCTGTGGCTCCTACACTGTCCCAGGCCCGCGCACAGGTCCCTGTTTCCCACCCTGGGTGCCTGGCCTTGCTGGACCCAGGGCAGAAGCATCCATGGCTAGTGCAGGGCAGGCCCAGACCTGGGCCTCTCAGTGTCGTCACTTGTGCAAGGGGACTCCTGGTCCCTGAGGGGTCCCACCAGGAAGATGAGGGGGTGCTGCCTGTGAATCACATGGCCTGGTGCCAGGCGCTCAGTGGCTGCGCCAGGTGGCAGGCTGCGGTGACTGCTGTGGCCTCGTTGCCTCCGGCCCTGGTGGCACCCTCCAGCTGTGCTGATGCTGCTTTTCCAGCAGCTCCTGCCCCAGGCCCGGGCTGCGTCCACCAGCGCCCACGCACTGAGCACTCGGCCCTGCCCGGCCCCCAGCCCAGCCTCCCATCCCAGCCTCCCGCAGCCTCAGGATCTGTTAAGATGCTGCACGTGGTGCAGTGTGGGTGTGGGCAGTGCCCTGGCCCTCCTCGCAGATGAGGTTTTGGATGTGGTCGCGGAGCGCCTGGGCAGCGGGAGCTCTCAGCTGTGGCCAGTGGGCGTCCCCTTCTCATCTCCCTGCCTCGACCCTGTCCGTCCATAGAAACAGCCGGGGTAGAGGTCTGTCCTCGAGTGACAGACGGGAGCCAGCAGAGGGAGACCTCCTGGCCAGCCGTCATCGGGCCAGCCACAGGCTGCCGCAGCCCGCCACCACCCAGGGACTGAGCCAGTGTCCTGCCTCCCCTCAGGCTTTGGCTAAGATGCATGTGGAGTCAAAATCGCGAGTGGACTTCTCTCGGTCTGATCTGAAGCTCAGGAGGGTTTGGTGGCAGGAGCCTGCCACTTCCTCTCACCCTGGCTCCTTAGGCCCCTTGGGGCCTTCCCTGCCACATGCTGGGGGGACCACTGCCGGGGTCCAGGAGAGCAGTCTCAGCCTGAGGTCCTTTGCCCTGCCCCAGGGGTGCTGGGCCTATGTGTCAGGGGCCTGGGATGGCGTCCCCCCTGGGTAAGCTCGCACTGGCACGCAGCCGGCCAAGCCGGACTCCAGGAGGCCCACTGGGCTGCAGGCTGGGCCTCGAAGGAGCACCCTGCTTCTTGGGGACAGCACTCCATGACCACGGGAGAATCAGGAAAGACCGTGGGCAACCAGATGGTCATGGGACCACGTGCTCCAGCTGAGGACAGGCAGCAGGCTGCGGGGCAAGGGGACTGCAGCCCCTTGAGCAGGCATGTCCCCTGGAGTCTGAGATGCCCGTGACCTGCCTTCACCTGAGTCACAGTCCCAGCCTGCCTCTCTGTGGACATGAGCCTGCTGGCCACATGGCCTGAGCGCAGAGAGATGGGCGGGGCTGGGGCGATGGCAGGAGGCCCAGCCTCTCCCAGGCACCTCTCCCACCAGACAGGCCTGGGAGGGCCTAGGGGGCAGGGCAGGGCAGGGCACCGAGTCTTTGGGGGTCCTTGGCTGGCTGAGGTCACCATTCTTGAGGACCCTGGGCCTTAAGCACTGGGGAAACTCTGAGGAACAAGTCAAATGTATCCCCACCTTGTTTCGGGACACAGGCCAGGAAGTGCCGGGGCAGCTGGGCCTGCAGAAGTGTCCCGTCACATGGGACGGGCCACCCTCCCTGAGGTGGTGTGAGAGCAGGTGGGTCCCTGGTCAGCGTCGGGCACTCAGTTCTGCCCCCGCTCCCCTGCTGTGTGCTAGAATCCCTGCCTTTCTCCGGGGAGGAGGACATGAGTGACCCCGAGGCCTTGAGGTCCCTGCTGTCCCTGCAGTGGAAGAACAAGGCAGCCAGCTTCCAGGCCGAGCGCAAGTTCAATGCCACAGCCGCCCGGACTGAGCCCTACTGCGCCATCTGCACCCTCTTCTACCCCTACAGCCAGGTGAGCCGCGTGCCAGGGCCCAGGCCGGCCTCTCCCCTACCGCTGCCATGACTGGCCTAGGGGGATCCCACGTCCATGGCAGTTCCTCCCAAGAGCCAGTGGGATTAGCTGGCCGCAGGCCTCCCTGTCTCCCCAGAGAGGGCACTAGCCCCTTCCCCCACCCCAGGGGCAGCGGGTGGAAGGGGCACGGAGGCGTGCAGGGACCAGCAGGCAGGCGCTGGCAGGGGCTGAGGGTGGTATGTGTGGGCTGGAGCCTGTCTGGCAGGGGGCCACCACCTCCAGGAGCCCTGGCCCGGTGCCGTTTCCCCGGTGCATCTACCTCATGCCTGAGGTCCAGCTCCTCCCGACCCCTGCCAAGGGTCTCGCCGAGTTGCAGGCTGGCCTTAGACTTGGGGGCCTTCTGCCTCGGCCTCCTGAGCAGCTGGGACGGCAGGTGTGCACCGTGCCTGCCTCGCCTGCCGATCCCCTTGGCTCTGCCCCCCTGGGTCTGCACACCCCGACACAGGATGGTGCACGCCTCTCCCAGGCCTTGCCACGCTGCCCTGGGAGGGTCTGAGCCTAGGGCTGTGCTTAGGGTCCTGGAGGGGCAGCAGGCCAGGGGCACATGTCCCTCCAAGGTGGCCAGTCTGTGACCAGGTCCCGCCCCCTGAGCTGCTGACACCTGCACTCTGGCCGTTGAGACACACAAGTTGTCATTTCTAGAAGTCTCCAAACATGTTCTCTCCCCAGTTCTCTGTGGCCAGAGGCTGCTGGGAGTCAAAGTGCCAGGAATCCCCTTGCTGAGCTGAGCAGCGGGAGCAATCTAGTCACGTCCCCCTCCGCAGGCCACCACCCTGGGGCTGCACTGGCCAGCGTGGTGCTGAGCCTGGGTGTGACCCTGAGCAGGCCAGACAGGCTGCAGCCGGGTTTGGGACCCTCCAGGACCCTCAGCAGGGCCTGGTGAGAGGCGGGGTGGGTGGAGGTGGGGTGGCCACGCCTGGCCTGCGACAGCAGGACTCGGGTGCCCGTGTCCTGAGCCAGGTCTCTGCTCCCCCTTCCTGTAGTCCCTGCAGATGGAGAAGGAGGCCCCGCCAGCCTCTGTTGGGGAGGGCCCCTCCGCCTCGCCACCTTCCAAAAGCGGCCAGAAGACTCGGCCTCTGATCCCAGAGATGTGCTTCACCTCCAGTGGGGGCAACACTGAGCCGCTGCCCGCCAGCTCCTGTGTGGACGACGAGGGGACCAGCCCGCTGATCGCCTGTGCCAAGTGCTGCCTGCAGGTCCATGCCAGTGAGTGCCCCCAGGTGCAGCGGGTGGGGGTCTGTGGCAGGCAGCCTCCCCGTGCAGCAGTCCTGCGGTTCCCTTGCCCGCCCTTCCCATCTCAGGCCGGGGGTGCTGGAGGCCCGCTGTCTGGTGTGGGGCAGGGCTGCCCGTATGCTGGCCAGCTGCTGGCCAAGGGGGAGCGACAGCAGACCTGGGACTAGAAGGGCCCTGTCTCGCCAGGCCAGCCAGGGAAGGGTGACCCCATGGCCCGCAGTGCCCAGGAGGTGAGGTATGGCCCAGGGGTCTGTTGGTTCCTTCCAGTCTCTCCCTGCTGGGTGGCCTTGGGCAGTGTCCTTGCACTTCATCTGGCCACAGGGCTGCTGGCCAGTTCCTGTGAGTCCTCCACAATGAGGTGCCATTAGGCACCCGTGACCCCTGTGGGGAGGTGATGCCCACCCAGCCGGGCTGACCCGGCTGTGCCACCTGCCCTGCTCAGAGGCGAGCCCAGGCACAGCAGTAAGATGGGTACGTCCCTTCCTCGGGGGCAGGGGCGGCGTGGCTCTAAGATGGCAGAGCGCTGAGCACCTTCGTTCCTGTGCTTGCTGGGTAGGTCTCCTGTGACCCCTCCCGTGGTGCTCCTGCTGGGCTGCGAGCTCTGTGGGGGGCTGGCCCCGGGAGCCTGCTGCAGGGTTTCAGGCCTGCCCCAGCCAGATGGGTGGTCGCCACCGGCAGAGAGCCCCCTCCCCAGGCTACACAGAGCCCCGAGGCAGGCAGTGCCTACCCTTGCTCTGGGCCTGACTCAGCCCCCCCACGCCCCTGCCACCCTCTCCCCTTTTCCAGACCCAGGGCCACATTGCAAAGTGGGTGGTGTCCGCCTGCCTCCCACTGTGCTGGCATAAGTCCCGCCTGAGGCCGGGTCTTGACTCTGGTGGGGGGGGCTGCTTCCTGCAGAGCGGAGGGGACCCTCCTCGCGCCTTCAGGTGCTGGAGTTGGCCAGGACAGGAGGGCAGCCAGGCCGGGGCCGCACGTCACATCCCCACCAGCTCTGCAGCCGCCCACTCATGTGCAGTGGCCTGGGCTGGGGCTGAGGGGGTCAGAGCCATTGCCTGAGTGCCACCCCTGGCCCTGAGACCCTGGCCCCACATGCAGCCCTGGTGACAGGTCATCTCCCTGGTCTCAGCCGCCTCTGCTGCCTTCCAGGTTGCTATGGCGTCCGCCCCGAGCTGGTCAAGGACGGCTGGACGTGCTCCCGGTGCACAGCGCATGCCTGGACTGCGGTAACTCTGCGCCCCGCCCTCTCCAGGGGTTGGCCTTGGGGCCTGTGGCCTGGTCTCCTCCCTCTGTGCTGAGCGTGGAACCCGACAACCTCCTGCCTGTCCCTTTGGTGGCCTCTGGGTGGATAAGGACAGGGTGGGAGGTGGCCTCACCCCGGCCTCGCTGTCTGCCCACAGGAGTGCTGCCTGTGTAACCTCCGGGGGGGAGCACTGCAGACCACCACCGACAGCAGGTGGGTGCCCCCAGCCTCCTGTCCCCAGCGCCGAGCGCCAGCCGTCACCTCCCAGCTCCCTGTGCTGGACAGGGTGACTCCGGGAGAGGGTGAACAGTGCCCCTTCGAGGTCCCTTATTCCCAACCAAGCTGACAGCCACTTTCCGGGTGGAGCCTGTCTCCCTGGCCCCGCCCTCCCCTCCCACTCACTGTTGGCCCCTGCCCAGTCTGGCCCAGCAACCCCCGTGACAGTCCCCGACCATCAGGTGCGACCCGGTGACCCCTGACCCTGCTCTCCCAGGTGGATCCACGTCATCTGTGCCATCGCCGTCCCCGAGGTGCGGTTCTTGAATGTGGCCGAGCGCCAGCCTGTCGACGTGGGGGGCATTCCCGAGCAGCGGTGGAAGCTGGTAGGTGCCCCGCCCAGGCCTGCCCACCAGCCCTCTGGGCCACCTGGGTCCACGGACATGCCCAGTGCAAGAGCCAGCAGGCTAGGGCCTGGTGACAGGCCCAGCCCAGCCCCCGCCCCCACGAGGCCCGCTCAGGCCCCTGTGCAGAGAGCCCCAGCCCCCCAGCCCCGCTGGCCTTGCTGCTGCTGTGCTTTCTGCGCTGTCACCACCGCCATGACGTCCCGCGGGCCTCCCCACCTGCCCCCAGTGCTCCCCTGCTCTGGGGTCGCCCAGGTTAGGGCCCTCGCCACAGAGGAGCCGGGCGGCCTGTGCCCTGGGACCTGCTGCTGCCCTCAGGTCGGGTGTCGCCGAGGTGGGTCTGAGCCTGCTGGTCATTTCCTCTCGTGGCGAGCGTCCTGCGTGGGGACGGACCGGCTTCTGTCCGGGCCGTTGTTGCTGGAGCCCAGGCCCCCTGTCTGGCAGTTGGCTGCGGGATGCTGAGACGCCTTTCTAGGGTTGCCTTCGGTGGCTGCGGGACATCCACACAGTCTGGACCCCGTCCCCAGGAGCGTGTCCCCCTAAGTGCTGGCGGCTGCTCTGCAGGCTGGGCCTCAGCTCTGCTTGGCGCCTCCCTGGTGGGGAGGGGTCCTGTCCTCCCTGGTCCCCTTGCTCTGCAGGTGTCTGTTGGAGAAATGGCTGTCGGGGCCTCTGCTCTCCGCGGACTGGCCGTGTCCTCCTGCCCGTGCTGATACCAGTCACCCCGGGGGAAGCAGGAGGAGCAGGCGGTGGGCAGGGGTCAGGACCTGGGCAGGTTGCTGGTCCTCCCTGGGCCTGCGCCCTTCCCGCAGCAGGGGCAGCGCATAGCCGGGCCATCCCCCTTCGGGGCACCCTCCCTGCAGCCCCTGGAGCCCTGTTCAGCTCAGGGTCCTGCGCCTGGCTCACGTGGCAGCAGTGGCCTCTGTCTGCAGAGCGGGTGACCACCCACCGCCAGCCTCCGCCCTGAGGGGCGTCTGGCACCCCCGCCCTGCTCCTCCCTGCTTCCCTACTGCGTGCTCCTGTGCCCTGACCTGGGAGCGCGGCCACAGCGCCTGAGGAGCAGTCTCGGCACTGCCCGCACTTGGGCTGCTGCAGCCTCACACCACAGGGGCGGAGGGCACATGCAGCTCCCCTGACCCGTGCACGGCTGTCGAGGGGCTACCCCTCTGCCAGGGACATGGACAGTGACCTGGTTGTTGGTTGTGCCTGGGACAGTTCTAGATGTTGACGCCCCAGGCTGCTGAGTGGTATAGCGGGCAGTGGGTCTGCTAGAGTCCTGGGGGGACAGGACTGACCCTTCCACAGATCCTGGGCTCCCTGAGCAGGTGGCATCAGGAGCCCACAGGCCCCAGGGCCAGGACCACATGCCCAGAGCCCCACAGGTGCAGGGCCACCTGGGCAGGCTGAGTAGGTGACAGCAGGGCAGGTTTAGAAGTCTGTGGCTGCCAGCCCTGCTGGGCACCGACGGGCGATGGGGAGGCCTGTGGCTGCAGGTGGCTCCTCTTCAGCGGCGCTGAGTCGGGCACAGACGCGGGTAAAAGCTTCATTATTCAGGTGGAGCGGTGGTGCGGGCACAGTACAGTGATAAACCCTCCCTGGCGGGCGCTTTATGAACCATCTGACATTTCCAGCAGGCAGCCTCTTCGCTGCGAGCACTTGTGACGGTGAATTAAAAACCCTCTCCCACGGGGCCTCGCAGGGAAGCCCGTGAGCGCCTGCTGCCCAGCGCCCCCTGCAGGCCTCCGGCGGCCACACCGCAGAGCCCGCACCTTGGTGCCCACTCTGGGCGTCCTCCCGGGGCCTGGGTTTTGGAAGCATGAGCTCATCTGCCTCGCCAGGCCGGGATGCACCCAGAAGCTTCCTGGAGGAACCAGAGGCTCGAGGAGGAGTTGGCTCTGGGGCCGCTGGTGTGGGGCAAGTGGGGAGCCAGCTCCCCTGCTCTCCACGGCCGGCTGCACATTTGCCAAAGCAGGGTGTCACAGCTAGGCACCCCAGGACCTTGGGGGGCAGCCTGGGCAGTCATGGATCCCTGCAGACATCAGGGTGTCTGGGGTGGAGGCTGTGCCCTGCTCCGGCTCTGCCTTGGCTCCTCCAGGAGGCCCCGTACCACAGGGTTAGGGCCAGGCCGGTGCAGG